GGGTCCACTTGGCAGACCCCCAGTGTTCACTGTACAATTGTTCAAGCTTGAGCTGATAAGAAGAGACCAGATTTTCTGGGTTGTCCAGCAAAGAGGTCTCAAACATTGCAAGAGTTCAGCTCTGTGTTCACTGGTCAGCCCGAAGACAGATTTTTTTTTAAGCTTTAATCTTCTTCATCAGGGCAGAGTGCACTGACGTGACCCTGCAGCTGAGAGGGATCCAGTGTCTTGCTTTTGGGCACTTCAGCAGGCCTAATGCTTATCATCATGGAGCCTCTTTGTTCTGCTTCTGTTTCCCTGATATTTTGCTCAAACGTCAACACAAGTTGTTAAAAAAAAAAGGGAGGAGAGGAAGAGAGAAAAACTGTCATAATTGTTAGGATGCACAAACACATGATTTATCAACTAACAAAGGAAGTTGTTCTTTTGAGATTGAAGGCATGAAAAGCCTTATAACAAACAGAATTAATTGAGCAGAAATCTATTGAATCAAAACAACAATTTGTAATTAGATGTTTTCAGTGCACAGACAAAAGTTGTTTTTTTCCTTTCAGCTACTCAACTTTAAAGTAAGATAAAACTTATCTTCAGATCCTCTTTTGAGGCTTTTATTAATTAACAAACCCATTACATTTTCTTAGATCTCCTTTTCTACAGTTTATCCTTTTTCATTTTATTTTAGACGAGTTCTGCCAAACCCTCTGCTTTTATATTGTTTAAGTTAAAGGCGGGGCGCCGGTAGGCTAAGGGTTAATGCGCTTGCCACGCATGCTGAAGTCCTCAAAGCAGACAGCACACGTTCAAATCTGACCTGTGGCTCCTTTCCCGCAGGTCATTCCCTACTTTCTCTCTCCCCAGTTTCTGACTGTCCTGTCTTTAAAAGAGGGCATAAAGGCCTCAAAAATGAACGTTAAAAAAAAAAAAAAGAGGTAAAGGCAAAGCAAAACGAGAGCATCTTGTTACCACATGGAGTAGATGACCTTTAACGAGTTTTTGAGGATTTAAAGCTTATTATTTAATTCCAGTATCGTACCTAACAGCTGGTGAGTAGTGGCGTTCTTCCATAGCAGGCTGTACCTCTAAAAATCCTTCTGTCACTTTATGAAGCCAAGTCTAACAGAGGCCATGTCAACAAATAATAAATCTGGTACCTATAATATACCAGGAGCAGATTACATCTTGTATTATATTGACAAATGTTCTGCTCTAGAGAGAGACGTATTTTGGATTCTGGAAAAATGTGCAAATCTCTATGAAGTCTCAGTTTGTATTCAACTTTTTGGAACTGTCACTGTTATTTTCTCACCTACTTAAAAAGTAATGATGAAAACATCTCAGACAAATAGTATAATATGCATTAATAATGGCTGTTTCATTCCACATTCCAGAGAATTTTTGATGATTATGGATTAGTCCTCAAACAAGATTGAATCAGGCAACTGGATCAGTGAGGAACATAATTGAAAGGGACACAAACTTTTTTTTCCCCGGAGAGTTTTGTGCTGAATCAAGAAAAAACATTACACCTTACTGATTCATTTTATTAAATCAATACAATTCATTAAGGAGAAGCTGCATATAAAGAAAAAAACTGAGAGGATAGACAGAGATTTAAACACAGAAAGACGTGGAGTGTGAGAAAGGAGCATCAGCTCAATGTCTTAAAGATGTCCCTATAGGCCTTGTTAGAACAAATTCATGCAGCTGACTTTCAGCTAGAAGCCAATTTAACACAATGCTCATATATATAGAGTCAGTTATACATTTATTAATGTGGAATATCATACCTCATCTGAGGAAAACCAGATCATAAACTTATCTCATTTACTTATTTTGTACCTTCAAGGTCTCCATTCCGTTACACTTCAGCAGACATCACATTAGACTGAATAAAAACAATGTATGCACAAATGTACTTTACTCACACGAGCAAATGATGTAATCATAGTGATTACATCACTGATGTCAGTGATTAAAATGCCGGTGTGAACATGTTTTAGTGTCAATGTGAAGACATCTTTGAGCAGTGCTTTATGCAATGTAATGCATATGCAATGTTAAAAATAAGCAATAGCTTTAAAAATATCACTAATTACAGTGTGATACAAAATACTATAAATGTAGCCCTCTTATGTGACATGCACCGGAGCTAACAGTCCTTTAAAGTAACACCAAGCCACCTACTACTCATACTGTAACCAGAGTCAAAATAAAAGACATTAGACGTCATGCTGTGCAACAGAGAGTTTCTCTTTTCTCTGTTATTGAAGGAGGAGAGACTCTCTCTATTCCTAAAGGAACTAGTTTTCTCAAATCTTTCTCTCAAACAATGCAGACAGACACTCGCACACACACAACTGCTGTGTAACTCTAAAATACTGAACAGTTTAGATTACACCAGAAAATAGCCTGTCATGTACCATCCTTTTGTCACACTCCAAAACTCATCCCCCTGTGAGGAAGCCTTTACTATCTAAACCAGTATGTCTTTCTTTCTGTCTTTGTACCTCCACAATAAAGAGAAAAACTGTTTGAAGAACAACTGAATGTAGTGTTGTAGTACTAGACTCACACAAGCCCCAATGTGCTGAATAGACGATGTCTATTTGCATTGGAAGAACTTAGTTGAACTTCAACACATACACTCATGCAGAACCACATTCAAGTTGAATTTACATTTAATATTAGATGGAAATTAATTCAATTAGAAGAACATATCATTAACCTTGCATTACTGTTGTGTAATTAAGAGCATAACAAGTCCATAATGACACTTTCTGACTTACACGACTGATAGGTTTACCCATCCTGTATCATTTAAACAACTATTAAAAATGTCTTTTAATGTCTTTTATAACCAACAGCAACCTCAGGGTGTTGAGAATTGAAACCAATGCCCTCAGATAGTACAGAGGCCACAGGGATGAGGGGATCAGTTGTTTTAAGCTATGTCCAGTATGTCTTGGTCACTCGCCGCTCTCTCGCCAGAGATTTAGTCAAGCAGGTGGTGAGTTTGCTGTATACCTCCCACAAGTTCTCTAAGATCAATGCACAAGTCTGAATCTCTATCTGTAGAATAAATGATGATTGACTCAGTCATTCACCAGCAAATCAGCCAGAAGCACAGACTGTAAGCCGTTTTCTTCTTTGAGTCTGCTAACCCGCTCGCTCTTCTCCTAAATATTAAATATGCTAATTTCTGTCTCAAGAAAACAAACATGGAGGAGGCCAAATGCCAAACTCCAATCAAGGCAGTTAACAGACCAATGGGTAACATCATGCTGGCTATGCTCACCATGCTTGCACACGCTGGCATGTGGGCAAAAAAAATACACTTTTCTGCTACAAGTTCTATTCATCTAATTAACAGTTGATCACAGTAATGTTTAAAGACGTTCAACAGAATTAAGCACAAAGCAGGAGGCTAAATATTGCACAAGTCCAATGGTTCATAAGATAAACAATTTTTACATGATAGATAATTATTTAAAGGCAGCTTAAGAACACACATCTTAGATAACATAACTTTTGTTTGTTTACAAGACAACTCCACAGGGACACCTTAAAGCTAATTAGTGTTGAAACCAAAGGAAACCACAAAACTACATTTTGCCCTGAACTGCTAACGTATAATGCCTTGGGGAAGAATTAAAAGGAAAGAGAGTAAACACTGAAAATAATTGTTACATGCTAACTGAAAATTCAGTCTCAGGTTGCATAATAAATACATGAAGAGCTGTGCTGCCTGTAGCAGAAGAGCTTTCCTTTATGAGGTCTTTGCATTGTGTCAGACTGTGAGCAGGGGGGTGGAGGCATGCTGCACTTTGTGGTGTCAATGGTCTGCTGCTGGGAGGCTCCATTGGTCTGCTGCTGGGAGGCTCCATAATGAGTCCCACTGTGTATATTCCTTTTTATATCTGAAAAACCAGCCGTGGGGCTTGATGATGCTTTCTTATGTACTTGTTCATTTGTGAACAGGAAGTGTGTGGAAATATATGAACAGTATGGTTATGTGCACACTTAACCTTTGAACGGCTATCGAGAGCCCTCAGTTGGAGCATTACTTTGTTTCTAACTCACCTGATATCATGTTTAGTGCTTCTACAGAGGAGAACAAATACATTGGAACAAACTGAGCAGCTGGAAAATGTTTGCTCTCTAGCATTTGCATATCCCCTTTATCTTACTGCAGCAAGCATGTTTCTGGTCTATATTTTTATTCACAATGTAAAAACCAACTTTCTCTCTGAACACTAAAGCCACCTATATGTACCCATGTCACGTTGCATCTCAGCAGCTACATGTTTATCACAGAAATCCAGGTTAATTCCGGTGGACTTGCGGGTGTGTGGCAGTCAGTCCATTAGGTCTTGCAGGCCACTGGTCGAACTCAACACCCTATTCCGCCCGCCCAATCCCCTAAATCCTCTGGAGTGCTTTGTACTATTGGCGATGCCAGTTGAGAGTGAAAATACTGTGGCTAATGCTGTAGCACTGTAGCACCTAATATCCCCAGCTGTGGCAGGCATGGGCGGTTTATTATTATCTAACGAATGAATTTTTAGAGTCAGGAATTGAGGCCAAGGTCAGTGGATTGTATGGGATTTGTGGTCAGTAAAATGCCAGTCTGATTCAGGCACTGAGCCCAAACATGTGACGATACATGTGTGCAAACAAACACAGCAGGGAAACAAACGTTCACATAAAATGCACAACAGGTGCCCCCCTGGTTTAGAGGAAAACATTACAATCACAAAAGTTTCTCCATGACACAGGAGAAACATACCTGACAGTGAAAATGTCATTAAATTCACCTGTATGGGTTTCTTTAGAGAGTTTGAGCGTCCTTGACAGTCCATGCAATGTTATGGATGATGATGCAAGCATCCAGCTCTCGGTTATGACTGCATGCGTAACAGGTTATTTAAATCTGATTTTATCAGCCTCTAATTGAAGCCTTCCTGCATCATTCCTTTGATCTAAAGCCTTTTCTCTCTTACCTCATACTCCACATACTCCTCCTCCTCCACCTCGTAGGAAACGGTTTGGATCTTGACGTGTTCACCGTCTTCCAGCAGCTTGGCCTGGGGATCCTCCGTGCCAGGCGTGTCAGCCCCTGCCGTGTTGGATGCCTCCTTCGCCTTCTTCTCTGTGAAGGTGGTCTCGCAGCACTCGCTTTTGTATTCCTTAGCTTTGATGCTGCTGCTGTCCTCCTTGTACAGGATAAAGTTTGGCCTGTAGAACGCCTCCACCGCCAGATGCAGAGAGGTGGCGTCCAAAAGCTGCTGGGATTTTATCTTCCCATTGGTGTTACAGCTCCCTACACTCCCTACGTTGCCATTACTCACTTTTCCTCCCCCCTCACCTACACCTCCTCCTCCTCCTCCTCCTCCTCCTCCTCCAGCAAAGTAATTGATAATATTTTCCTGGTACTGGTTATTTGGGAAGTCGCCCCCATAACCGTTGACCATGTGCTTACTGTTTTTGTCCAACAATGGGTTCTGGAGCTCACTGAGATTCTCCATAATAACCAAGGCCAAAAGATGAACGTGTGGTGCTTCTCTGTGATGTTAGGTCGTTAGATTTAAAGTTTCAGGTGGAATAAGACAGGATGTACTTCTCAGTGGCACTGCTGATGTCAATTAAAGTGTGTGGATGGCATTCAGCAGTGGGAATCTGGAGGGGAAACAGAAAAACACAAATTTCAGGGTCAATTTAGGAACTTGAGTAAAAATGTTATTTGACATATACCAGCAAGTAACAGTTTACCCAACACTTGCTCACATAAGATCAAAGTTGAGCTGTCGTTCCTGCGGCTGCTACAACTTCTACAGCATCTTGCCTGTCAAGCGCTGCACCCGCAGATGATTTAATTAAGTTGAAATTGCTTCCTCACTCTGGATACAGTTACACACACACACACACACACACACACACACACACACACACACACACACACACACAAGCTTAGATACCAGAGTAATGACAGCGATGCATCAAAGCACGCCCCTTCACATTAATATCATTTTCTTGTTAAGCTCACAGGGCAGGAATGTTTCATATCTGTATGAATTAATTTATGCTGACATTAGTTTGACAGGTTGCATGTCACATTTCTTTTGTGAAGAAAAGACAAAAGTCAAAGTCAAGACTTGACTTTAACCATTTTGAAAAATAGAATAAATCTGCAACATACAGCAATGTGCTTGTTAAGGGTGCATCTCACTTTTCAAGGGAACTGGAGGTACTGCTGTGATTGGTTTGATTGATATTCTCCCAAAACACCCATATAAATGATAAGTAAGTAATTAATAGAATGTTTTGGGTTGTATACACTGCACAAAGATAGCAAAGCATTTAACTGTCAAAAAAAGGGGTTGGACACACCCTACTGTAAATGTACTAAAGCTCACACTTGTTTAGACCATGTGCAACAGGCTGAAAAGAGCCCTAACAATGTTATATATTATCATTAATTACCAAAAGAAGTCAATCATAAGAAGGTCCTCTGCTTCTGAATTTAAATATTTATGGCCATTACTCACTTCCAGAATCACACTCAAAAAGAAAGAAATAAGAATACAAAGGGGGGGGGGGATCAAGCATACCATTTGCTATTTTTCAAACAGCAATTCCAACAAAACTGGCATTTAAAATGCATAAAAACCCCAAACAAATTTACAATAATGTTAACAATGTGACTGTATGACACACGGCAAACGTTTTCATCATAGAGTACAAGACTGACCGGCCGGAAAAGCTGCATCAGTTTGGATCTCATGCCCACCAGTTCCCTCTATCCCCCCGCTCCACACATACAGAATGTATTTGGGCAGGCACACAGTGAAGTAACTGTCGGACCTTAGACCACTTTCCCAAACTATAGGTCAAATACGACCTACATGGCTTTTTTCCACAAATTAAGTTTAAGGTGGATACGACCACTTCTAATGTCTAACCATCAGTGTGTTTGTGCCCAGCACAGATGTGTTGTCTTTTTGGTCTTTTGTTTGAGAGATAAGACATTGGATAGAGTTGGAAATCAGGGAGAGAGAGTGGGGAATGACATGTGGGAAAGGAGCCACAGGTCAGATTTGAACCTGGGCCACCTGCTTGGAAGACTACAGCTTCCATACAAGGGGCACGCGCATTAACCACTGCGCCACCAGCTCCCCAGAAGTGTTGTCTATTAATCCCAGTTTGCTCGCTATCCGTTAACCATTTTTTCGTCTCCACTTGTCAGTGACAGTTAAAGCTGTTTCTTTGGAGCTAATGCCAACATATCCAACTTGATTGGGGCGGCAGTAGCTCAGTCTGTAGGGACTTGGGTTGGGAACCGGTTCAAGTCCCAGTATGGTAGACCATGCATGGAAGTTGGTCTGGTAGCTGGAGAGGTGCCAGATCACCTCCTGAGCACTGCTGAGGTGCCCTTGAGCAAGGCACCAAACCCCCTCCCCACCACCAGCTCAGGAGCACCCACTGTGGGCCGCCCCGTCACTCTGACATCTCTCCCTTAGTGCACGTCCATAGGATCCTGTTTGTGTGCGTGTGTACTTCAGCCTATGTGTGTGTTGCATCACTACAGAGTGTAAAAACTTAAATTTCCCCTTGCGGGGATCAATCTTCTTCTCTTTTAGCCAAAGCTGGTGCCATCTAACTCAAATATTATTTTTGCTAGCAATGGCTAACATTAGCCAAACTAAACTATATCTGTAGCTCCAAAATAACATGTGCTGGGTTTTGTTCAGGTGTTTTTTTGAAAGGTGTTCAGTTTAACTCAACACAGACTGGGCTGAACAAAAGATGAGATTTCATGGTTAAAACTTAAAACTATTCTATACAGGCCTTTGGATAGAAATATTTGTCAAAAAGTTTTGACACAAAAACACACAAACAAGTGAAAATTGTGCAATTGAGAGAGCAAAGGTGCTGAGATAAAAATTGTTATAGATCAGGTATATAAAACATAATGAAACACAACCATACAAAAAGACACCAACTGGCACAGGTAAGCCATCATTGTTGAATCCCTCTTATACTCATGCTAACTCAGCAGTGAAAGGTAAATAGTTGCTCTGGGGGATGTTAAAACATAGAGCTGATTATTAATAGTCTTAAATTAGCTCTGGAATGACGATCTTCTTTACGTTTAACTAAAATACACTTTTATAATCAAATTATTGACTTAACCTCCAAGCTATTTCCCCTAAAAACCTGAACTCTCTGCTTCTCCATTGTCACCCTTAACCTCTGTCTGATTAATCAGTGTTTAAAAAAAGGAACTAAACCAAGGCAGATTATTTCACTGGTCTTGATCCCAATCATGTTTGGCTCAGTAACTGCACTACTGTCAAATCAAATGGATTTTATTTCCAATTGAAGAAGACAAGATTATGAATAATGGAATATAGCATGTTAGACTGGGATATGGATGATAGTTTGTTAGTTAGTTAGTTTCAGGTTCTAAGGATAATAATTGTACATAAATCTTCTCATGGATGATTTATGTACATTTATGTGCATCTCGCTCCACATCATCTGCTTATTTATAACAAGCTCACAAATAAATCTAAAATGTTGCTAATGTATAAGGTCAGACACTCGTTTGAAAAAAAAAAGGAATGCAGTATCTACAAGGGTTCTTCCATTCTCAATAAATCATCATCTCTTTCTCTCTCTCATTTCCCCTAACGTAGGGTTCATGTTTGCCAAACTTCATATTTTCTGCCCCATGAATAAAATACGAGCCTCATGCTCCCAGGCTTCCTCAAGCGCAGTAAGCACCGGACAGTCTGCAAAGTTTTCACGGTCCCTCCCCCGTTAGACTTCATGCGTCTGAATATGCTGACACCGTTCTTCCACACCAGAGCGCCCTTTGGTCCACATGTAGCCCTGGGGATCGCACACTCATGCAGTTTCTTCATTAATTGACTAAATTCGTGTGTACTTACAAATGCTCATGAAAAAGTAAATACGAGCAGGTGCTGAGGTTGCGGTCTAGTAAGGATGCTGCATGCACTGCTAGTTTTCTGGTTTTCTAGGGAAGGATGGCCTCTGGCGTCTGGCTAACTGGTATTTAAGGTGAGCCAGACGCCAGAATGCCGCCTTAAAATACTTGTGCCTACCAACACCAAGTAATCATTTGGAGCTGAAAATTAGCTGCGACCTCCTGGGTGGGTTTGATGAATAATGAAAACTGATTTACAGGACATGAACTGACTGACTACATTTGTACTGCTTTCAATTTATCGGTTCCAACTAGGTGCAAAGACCACTCTTACGTAATTTTCCCTTGAGTCTCTGATGTTTTTTTTAAATGTCAGAAAGCATTTTTTTCCAAATCAAAGGAAAACTACTTAAGTTAAAGGGGCTACAAATAGCATTTTAACATCAATAAATCACTACTTCATTAATACTGAAGGTCCAATGTCATTAGCATAATCCAAGAGACAGTTTGCAAGAGGACAAGCTACTTCTGAAGCTTCTACGCCGCAGTATATATTTGGAAGTGGGATAACTCAGTTAAAAGAGGCACAGCCTTAAAACTAAAAGATAAAAACCGCATGTTGCTATCTCAAAGTGTCTCACATGTTGCTATTCCAAAGTGTCTCACAGTGGCTGGATGGAAGAGGCTTGGATAAAACAGATTCTAATAATCTCACTCTCTTTGACTTAGTTTTAGATACAAAGGCTGCCAGGTAAAATTTAAATAAAGTTTTTTGTAAGTTCCTCCACTTTTTTTTAACATGCTATTCATGACTTCATTCCTCCATACACCACAGATCTTTCAATTTATATTCCAGCCAGATCACTGAGATCATTTGAAGTGTCTCTTTGTAACTGGCCCGAGTCTGTCCCTTTAAATGTGTGGCTGATGGGTAATGTATGCCATGCCAAGTTTTGAGTTGATGCTCCACTCCAGCATAGGTACAAGTATGTATATGTCTCGTGTGTCTGTGAATATAGAAACACGGTTTGGAAGTTTATGCTCAGTCCCCTTTACAGTTTTGCATGCCTAATTAGCCTGGACTTCGTAACCTGCATTAAACGAGCCAAGCATCGGTCCTTTACTTCACTAAGGGACGACGGAGCTGACAGAGGTAACATCTTTTAATCGTTCCTCGTATGTTCCACTAAACTAAAGCACCGTCGAGGCAGCCTTTTGTTCTTCATCTCCCTGAACAGAACTCACTGCCTATGAATGTAAAGCTCTCTCTTTTGGTATTATTAAAGAAATGAAGACCAACATTTTTTATCTGGCTTTTAATTTGTAACAATTTCAAAGTTGTTTACATCGTTGATTTTACATTAGATTGTCCTTTATCTATTTTGCGTAATTGGACTTTTTACAATTTTACATTCCTTTAATTTACTGATATCAGTTCCTGCTTTTCATTGTAGTATTTTTTTTATTGTTTATTTATATTATATATAAAAATTATATATTTTTATTGTCCCTTTCTCTTCTTGATTTAGTCATTTATAATCTCACCCATTTTCATCTATTTCTGTCTTTATGTCCAGTCAGTTTTTTTGTCCTTTGGACGTCATGTTTGTGAGTATATGATAGGTGTTAGATAAATAACACCATAACTCCAGTTAAAAATAGCACCTGCATTGACCAAGAGAACTACTTCAATATCACTATTCTGTAAATTTGTTTGAATTCCCCATAGTTATCGGATGTGGCAGTTTCAAGTCCTTCTAGGATAATTTGGCAGCATTTAAAACTTTTTTTTCCCCCTTATTCTTCTCTTCCTCAGGGGTAAAACATCTAGTGCTGTGCATTGGTTATTCTGATGTAGTCTTTCACACCGGGATGGAGGAAAAACAGACCAATTGAAAAGTATGTAATTTTGAAAAAGAAGGAATAGATATCGGTATCCTCTGCATGAAATTAGAACGCAGTACCAGATGATGGCCTTGACAAAACAATAACAAGTGTTGTCATAGCATTTCCTGTTTCTGCTGCTGTAACACTTCTCTACAGCACAAAAGCTACAAGCTAACAGCGGATTACTTCTGGTGTCATTACTTGCGGCTGCTCTGATAAATCTTTTTGGTGTTGTCATGCTTCCAAATAAGTTGCTGCTGCTGCATGATGGTGGTGCAGGGTAGGCTTTGCTCTGGTTAATGGGAATGTAAGTGTGTATAAGCCGTTTTAGTCCAAGCTGAGTAATGTAGGACACTTCAGAACCAGAGAGGATGAATGTCATTGAATAACCACTGCTGTGTGTGTTTGTGTGTGTGTGCAACATTTGTTTGTGGGCGTTTGTGGTCTGTGCATGTGTGGCTGTGAGTAAATATACATGTCTACGAGTAGGTGGAGTTGTTTGGGAGAGAACCAGAGTGTTGGGAAGAGAGAAGAGAGATCATACTGATACGCGATTCTCTGGTTGAGTGCGTTTAAGGCTTGCTGGAAGACAGCAGTGGCCGGGAGGTATGAAGAGCTGGGAGGTACCGCTGAAAGCAAATGAGGCAGAGCAAAGGCTGTTGCGAGGAAAACAATTCAGCATTGCACAAGCACAAGGCCGATGTGCTGCAGTAAAGGAAAGCCCAAAGGTGTTTGACAAGGGGTCTAACAGATTAGCAAACAACCTGTAAGCATCCAGGTGCACGAGGATAAGAATGAGACATTGCTAACATGCCAGCCATGCTGATGTGTCTGTTCTCTGCAACCCCATTAGACTCCAGTCAGCACACTTTATTTCCCTTTGTCAGCCCATTGCCAATCAACCTCAGACCTCTGACCCTGAAGCAGAGAGTGGGTATTATCTGCCAGGCCTCGAGGCCAGCGGGGCAGGATGCCGCTGAATACCAATGTGTCTTATCTGTCGGCCATGTTTACCCACCCATTCTATCCAGCTTCTGTCTCTTACAGCTTTTCCTGGATATTTCAGTACGGTGCGCTCGACAACAACAACTTCATCTTCCTGTAATTTGATTTTGAAAGCAGTTGCTGGCCTATAATATGCATAATAAGGGAACGCCAGGTAGTTATAGATGATCACGGAGACAGATTATGCGTGCATGGCAGAAAAAATCCCAATGCACATTTGTCAGTGAACCCTTCCCCTGGCCTCTGCACATGAAAGTCCACTGACAGATTCAAAGCAACAGAAAAGGATAAAGTGAGTAATGGGCTTAAAAGCGTATTGACTGATCCTTTTATGGACTATTATCATCAAAGGAGACTGTGTAAAAATGTCATAATCCACTTGAAATTAATCTGAATCCTGCTCCTGTGTCAGCAGTTGCCACTGATACGCTGTCCCTGCTCTGTCTGTACGTCTATCTAAAGCTGATAAAACATAAACCCTGAGCAAAAGGAAGCTCCAGCTCTCCTTACATGGACCCTTGCGTCCTTGTCTCCTCTCGTGTACTGCCACACTCTTATCACCCAGTTTAGTGTTTTCCACACCTCCGTCAGATGATTCAAAGTGTTCATTGATGTGTAAATCCTCCATTGAAAACCTCAGCCACATGTGTTTAAATAATTCAATGGGATGTTGCTGTCAATAGCGGCCATGTAGACTGTTACTGCTGTGGTTTGTTGTTAGAGAGAGGAAGGCACTGGGAAAGCTGTCTTCATTTTGTATTTGTGGGAACACACAGGATTTAGATTGAGATTTTTGTCTTCGAGAATTTGTTTCTGAAAGTATTTATTTGTTGATGGATAGATAGAAATGAGGAAAAAACCCGTGCTACGCAGTTAAGTCATTTTGTGGAATAAATTGAAGCTGTTTTTCAAATACTCCACTGTAGCAGTGAGTTTAAAAGCAGCCTCTCCCTGGATAAGGTTTTGTTTAGTCTATTAGGACTGCAGTTCAAGCAGCGATTAGACCTGACATCACTGGTACCAACCCAATTGTTGCAGGCAACAGGGATAGATCAGAGGGAGAAGGTGGAGATTGATAGCTGTGTGTGTGACTCTGTGGGTTTGTTGGAAAGGGTTTAAGCTCCTTTATGCATGCCTTCATTTTTCCAAAACTGCTAAATCTACAACCTGTCACAACCTTAATCAATCCCTTACTTGAATGCATAGACTAAGACAATGCTTACAAAATGCCATCAACCACTCCTTTTCCTCCTCTTTTTTTTCCCCTTGGTCTTTGTTTACAAGGTGAAAATTGATCCTGACAGCACTCTCCGGCCACACATGGAGTGTGTTCACACATTTCTGAACACATACAAAAAGGCACTCTAACAAAGCAGAGCACACAGAGTGACAAGATGACTTCACTTCTCCAGTCACAACACACACACACACAAAGAAGGGGAGATGGATTGATTCTCCGTAGGACGCAGGTGGGAACTGTGTGCAGAGTTCTTCATCAACAACCGCACAAGACATACATTGCATTGCGACACTTAACTCTGGTTAATTCCGTTGGATGCTGAACATTTCGTGTCTTCATGTTTAAACACATTGTACTAAAAATAATTTTCACCATTTCGACCATTATGATGATACGTTGAGCAGCTTTAAAACAATTACGCGCGGTCAAAAAAAAAAAGCAGTTTCTACCTTTAAAGGATGAATTTCTTTCTTACCTTTGAGTTCTTGACAATCCAGATATTGTTTGAAAGAAGCAAACACTCGCTTGTTTCCGTTTGTGCATTATGGCTGGGCTGCTGAAGGTGTCGCCCAGGGAAAAAGACATTTCTCCGACTTTCTCATTTTCATGAAATAGCCAATCATTTCTGGCGAACAGGTCTCCGCTCGACAGATGAATAAAAAAGAACAACCCACCGCCGTCACAGCTCGTAATCTCTCTCCCCTATAAACACGAAGGTCTCCCCTCCCCAATAAACCGTTTACCTTGAGAGACGACTGAAATGTAGTCGCCCTCAGAAAGTTAAAACAGCCTCAGTGGAAAGAGAGAGAGAGAGAGAGAGAGATGCGTCCTGGTGCGGGGAGGTTCACTGAGAGAGGCGCGGATGGAGAGAGGAGGAGTGCACTCCGATACGCTTCACGACGCGCGTAAAAAATGAGAAAACAGCGTCCACTCTCATTCAATGCTTGTGTTTACTTTGACTGAATAATACTTTGAAAAGAGGAGGTTAATCTTACACTGGATTTTTTTTTTCTTCAGAAAATATTCCCCAGGCTGCAGTATCCAAAGCTCCATCACGTAGAACGAGTCAATTACAGCCCGAGCTCTAAATCCATCATTAAAACATGACTCGGAACCTTTTAGAAGGCAGCATTAAGAGTTCCTTTCTTTGAAGGCCTCTACAATTCCACTAATGTCTGTCGTGAGCGTTTGATTAGGCCTGCGTGACCACCCAACAATATTAAAGCACTTGCTGACATTTTGTGGCATACAAACTCGTCTCTTAACTTTTTGAGGACACTGAGGGAAAGCCAAAATAATGACATTTAAAGGACCCCTAAATCCATTTTCTTAACCAGCTTCTAAGCGTTACTTTGACAACTTTGGAACCATTTTGCTCATTTGACAGGAGAGATTTCTGTAGTTTCTGCTCACACTGGTTTGAAGGCAGGACTGTAGTGGTGACGTCACATGCTTTTGGGAAGCAACCAAGTGATACTTGGCAGAAATGAGAGTACAATTATAATAGGAATGCGTCATATCAGATCATTCTCTCCTGGCTCCTAAACATTACCATGCCATTTGGTCAAACCACACCACCATAGGCCTGTTGATGCAGACAGGAAGATGCGTTGCTTGTCAACAGACAAGGCAGGCAACTGCTTGTGGCCCCAGGCCAGTAAGGGGACCCCAAGGGCTGACAGACTTTAAACTGTCATCGCAAATTTTGACAGTAGGAAACCTCCCCATCTGACAGCGATTACTCTTGTTGCTCTGCTTAGCATCTCATGCATTATTCCTGAGAAAACCAAGGTTTGTCAATAAAAACCACTAAAGGAAAATAAAGCTGAATTATCTGTCTGGTAGTGAAAAATAAAGACAGACATAATAGTGGTTGGAGGGGCCCCTAATTAATTTTTGCCTAGGGCCCCAACAGACTCTAGAATCTTCACTGTAGACAGGTTAAGTTGAACTGAAGAAATGTTAACAAGGAATGTTTTATTTTGAAGGGAATTTTTCATATTGTTACATATTTGGCAGCAAAAGTTTTAAGTTATCCAGAAAACCAATCAGTCTGTACTTTGGCTATAATATCATGAAAACATCAACACAACTGCCGGCTGTGACATTGCCCCTCAGCGTCCTTTTATCAGTAAAACTGCAGAGTATGATTAATTTAAAAAAAAGAACTGAAAACGGCTGACATTATCCTCTGCCAGTACCTGATAATTATATAATCCTCCTTATAGAACAGACCCCACAATTTAGACAGACTGTAATCAACTTTCCATTAGTAATCCTGAGTGGTCCTCTTGACCCTGCCATATTTGGCAACCAAGCCTGATACATGACAGGAGTAAATTATGATAACATATCATCATGTACGTTTTATGAATTTGAAAATTGTTTCATGAGCAGGTATGGATATTACTTTGCTGGACCTGTACCAAAAATGTGTTACTGTGTGACCCGTAATTGTTCACAAGACCAATAAAATTAGAATTTAGAAATGTGAAGGAGACAGCTTGACCCTGAAAACTAGGGCAAAGAAATGTTATCACTTAAATAGTAATAAAGTAAAAAAAAAAAAAAACACATCTTTGTCTGCAGGACCTAACTTGTTTGTTTATGTACTTTACAGAAAATCTATGAACTCTAATCAACCTTGACCTTTGAAGAAAAAATAACAATGTTGAGCACCGTTGCTTCAAATGTAAAGCTAAAGTACGTCAGTCTTTGCTATGTATTCCAATTTCCTTGGCTTGCTGTTGTTTTTATATTAACTTAAAATGCTAATGTATTAAATCACTCTCAGCATGTTGTACAACAAGCAGCCCTTGTCACTCTAATGTAATTAAGCAGATTATTTATATGTATACAGACTTTCTTGGAGACAGTGTTGACAACAAACAAAGAGAGAAAACGAAACACCGACACATCAGGATGTGAGAATAAAGAACCAAACCTCATGTTCTGTTGAGATGTTTTTACCCTTGTTTAGAAGTTCAAATGAGGCCAATCATATCGCACAAGACAGAAAATATTCCCCAGTTATCTCCCAAAGAATTTAGACTGATAGGGAATTCTATTAGCGCTGTGTGGAAATGAAAACCGAGGAGTGCAGCAGTTTCCTGTGCTGAAGGACTCTGCTCCATAAATGTAGTGTCACTTTCACTGCAGTCATTTCACTGGCGTTTATATATTTAGAAATGTGATGTGATTATAATAAGCTCTGCCTGACATCACTGCAGTGGAATGATTTCATGCAGTTGAAAAAAATGCTGTATTTCTACATTTTGTGATGATGTTGAATACTACTATAAGGAGAAATATAAAAGAAATATATATTGAAAGGCTATAGCTCTTAAATAGCTCTGGATTATGCTTCAGCTATTAAATGAAGGTGAGTTTTTTAAAGGTTAAGACAGCCTTGATGGGGTTAATGTGTGGTTCAAGTACCTCGTTCAAGTGGATGAACTTCAAAGGTAGCAAAGAACATGGTCTGAAATCCCCCTATCATTATCTAGGATCTGAATCTCCTCTAACAGCTCGCAAGTGAAGTCCTGACCACAATCTTGCCATTTTGATCTTTCATGAAAAAGCCTCTACGAGTGATCCACAGTACTGACACTTTCCCCTTCTTTTCAAGTACAACATGTTGTGCTTTTTGAGCTTGAACTTGTACACTACACGAAGCAAGGTGGGGAAAAAAGGTCAACAAATAGCCAGAGAGTAAGAGGGTCAGAAATAGCCTTGTAGCAGCATTGATCATATTTGAGGATGACCAGGGGAAGGCTGGGTGACAAAAGAGTGTTGGCACAAAGGGAGGTGGCTCTGACAGGCTGTGTAATGGCCATCGCTGCTCCCTACTCAACAGGTTTCCCCCGTAAGGTGTCTGTTCCTACCTTGCTGAGTTCTCTTTCCCTCGAAAGTTCAGTTTTTCTTTCTTCATATTGTCGTCTACTGTCTTCTATTTCTCCCCCAACTCGATATCACTGCAATCATGTCTGACAAATAGATTCCGATCTACTGGCCGGCTGCACTCTGGACCTCATCAGAAACCCATCAATCATAGATATCATGCACATCTTTCTCTCTTTGTGTTGAGCCCAGTTTGACCACAAAATCGGCTCTCACACCAAGGAATTTAGCCGAATCCTCCCCTCTGCTTTTCAGAGGAGGTCATTCAGCTCAGCAAGCCTGTCTTGCATCAGAGATGAGCCGCGAGATCCAATTTGTTTGTGCTGAGATGACTCCAATTCCTTTGCCACAGAACATTAAGGCTGCAAATTAATATCCCTGGGCTCAGCGGCTCACAGCTCTGTTTGGGGACAGGAGGCAGGCACACAGGGAAAAATGGCAGATGCATGGAGAGAATTCCTTAAGACCCCAAGGTACCTTGTCTTTTTAAGCCCTTTGTCTCTCCCTTCACCTTTTTTCTTGAATTTTTTCCCTCATGGTTTCATCTTTTCAACTTAAGAGACCTTCTCCCAATTGAGATTAGGAGGTATAGAGCTCATCTAAGGTGTCGTGCTCTGAGTAACAACACCTGCAGTCAGTCTTCAGTCACCTCTCGGCAGACATTCACAGAGACGATCAGATGGGAATACAAATATGCAGTATAGTGAGAAAAAGTTTGGAGGAGACCTAACTTCTAGCCTAGCTGGATGATGGAAAAAGTCTCGATTTGCCTGCCAGAAAATCTTTAACTCATACATTTATATAATATATTTTGTTTGTTGAACCCTAAGTATCAAAACAGATTTTTCTATGTGGTGCATGCCAAGAAATATTTTCACACTCCCGATGGCTAACCACCACGTACGTTTGCATGCGTGAGAGGAGATAAGTCTCCATGCCAGCAGGCGGTGGTAGTCCGCTGTTATGATATGAGAAGACCATTTTCACACCGCTGTCTCGCACCACTCATAATATAGGTAGCCTACTAATCGAGAATAATGTCAGATAAAAAATAGAAAATTTCACTGGCGTTGTCAGCCCTTGGTCTTTTGGTGGAAAAAGAAAAGAAGACACAGAGGCGACAAATAAGGAGACACCGCATTAATGGGTGAAAGCATGGATACTACAGCGGTATTCTCAAGGGGCTTTCCTGAGCCTGTTTTAAGAGCTGGAGATATATGAAACCTCCGAACTGCCAATTAGAGAGATTCCTCTCACCGTCGGTCCAAGTAGGACTGACGGCCGACGATCTCCTTGGTGTGTCAGGGCCATTAGGTCTCCTCTGGTGGGCTTGCAACACTTTCCAGCCAAGAAATATTCTGCCCCCTAAACTACCGTAAATCAGAAAATAGACTCTTTTTTTTTTTTTGCTGATAAAACAAGCAAATGTTAGCTCATTCGCTTCGGAAGTGTCTATAGTAGTTATTACTTTCAAACAAAGCCAAGCTGGATATTTATCCTGCCTCCAGTCTTAATGATAAGCAAATCTAGTCAGCTTTTAGGCTGTTCATCAGCCCAGCTGCTGCAGCTATAGTTAAGCAAAGATGTAATATTAATATCATTATTCTTTCCTTACAACAAGGATGCTAATGATGGCCTCCCACAATATCTGTCAGGCAACACACAAAACAAACAAACGAGACACCACAGCTGTTATTGTCTTGTAATACACCGAGAAAATTATTTTTGTGCTATACTAAATAAATGATGTGAATCATATTGTATACATGGCCAAAGTTACAGTGAGTCAGTCAGAAATCATGTTGAATTCCAACAGAATGTATTCCTGACCCTCAGGCTAAAGCGTTGTCTCATGGCAATAATTGCAAGGTGGGTAGAGTCCAACCTTTGCTGCATGTGTTTAATGCGCCTATTGCA